CGGCAAGGCGGTAGCAAGTCTCCAAATTTAAAGGTTTCGCAGGAATCCAGGGAAAACCCGCCACCGCCTCCCGCGTGCTCGCGGGGGTCCGGCTGCGGGTTTGCGCGCACGTGTTGCGGTGCTGAGGCGCAGGAGCTGCGGTTGGAGTCCGAGCCCTTTGGGGCAAGATCTTGCAAGATCTTTGTCTTCTGAGGGTTTTGTGAAGAGACCAGTCTGGTTTAGAAGCTAAATGGAAAATAAATACTGCGGCGCTGCGGGGGCCACGCATGTATTTTACTTGTATCCTGCAAATTGGATACAGCGTGAATGGACTAGAAGGGAGAAAAGGGCAAAATAATAAAGGAAATAATACAAAAATCAAGCAAAGCGACAGTCGGAGTTTCAGGTTTAGCACATAGTGACTTGAAAAGAAATGGTAGCTCTCCACGAGGGAGATGTGCCGTGCTGTGTCTGACTCCGCTCAGGGTTTTTGGCAGGTGCTGAAGTGCTTTACTCTAGATCCAAGGTGAGGAGACAAATGGGGCCCCTCGGGTAGTAGTTAATTCCGTACCTCTGGTGGGGTGAGGACCTGCGATCAGATGTGCAGGGAACGGTGTGCGTAACACAGTGGTGGTAAAGGCTTTTCAACTGCTCTTAGTTTAGTGTTTGACCCAAGAGATGCTTCCAGGATGGAGACAGCAGTTGTAACACGTTCTCTCTCCGGCTTTCCTTGGGCAGCCTTGGATGTGGAAGGTGTTGATGATTAACACGAGATGCAGGTGCAGTAGAAGGCATACGTGGTTTTAGATGGACGGAAATGGAGGCCTGCCCAAAAATAGGTCCTGATGAGCTCGTCACATGCTGTGGATTGCTGGCGGACGAGCAGAAACTCAAAAACCAAGAAACACAGAGCAGTAGTGGATTCAGAGCATTTCAGATGCTCCTTACTTGCATGGGGTTTTTTGTTGTTGTTTATTAAAGCAGTAGCTTTTTTCTGTTTTCTTTGCATAAATTTGCGTAACATTTTCACCTTCTGATATGATTTGCTTGTGACCAAAATAGTATTAGATTTTCTTCTTTTTTGAAGAAAAGTGAAAGCAAGGAGGTGTTCACTGTAGTGAAGATCCTGAAGAGCCTGAACTGACCAGAGCTTTTGTCAAAATAAGACAGAGACATTTTTATATGTTACTACAGCAGCATGATACCTTTGTAGGCAATATTTTTTGTAACTTGTAATGACCTCTTCAGATATACATATTTCTCCTTCATCTGCAGTCATGGTAACTGCAAATCATGTTATGCATTTGTATTGCTATAACCAGTTAAAGGCCTTTCTACTCTTTAATCCATTGAGTTGTTATGAAGACTTTCATTTAAAAAGTGAATTTTTATGTTTGTGAATGTTGGCACTACCAGCAAATGCAATTGGTTTCTGGTGTTGTTTGTCAGCAAAATATTTCCATTTTAAAGTTGGAATGAATAGATTTTAGTAGGAGACTGAGAACTGTCACGCTTTTTGGTGGTAGCTTAATCCAAAAAAAAAAAACCCTCCAGAAACATTTTCCCCCCCTTAGGCTGTCTCAATATTTATTTTTAAGAAATATTTACTCATCTGCTAGAATATTATAGCTCTCTTCAAGGAGCCAGACTCATCTATGTTAGAGAACTCCTAGATGAGTGTGGTCGTGTTTGCAAATTGGTATAGTCCAGTTAAATTGGTGCAACTACTTTGTCCATAAAAGGCCTGTGCTAATATGCTTAATTTTAATTTCATTTCTCATTTGTAAAATCCTGGCAATACTGTCATTACAAAGCTCATAGCAGAACATAATCCTCCTGAAAAACAGGAGCGGTGCGTGCTTTTGTGTAATTTATGTTTCTCCCTCTCCTCTCCGAACGGGCTTGAAGCTTAGAGTCATTGCTGCTGCATTCCTAATCACACATTTAGTTTTATTGCAGTAGTGGCCAAAGTGGCCATTATAGTTAATTGTACTTTTTCTGTCTTAAAAGATGATTGAATCTGTCCACCAGAATGCCTGTGGGCTGCAATTATGAGTAGTAATTTTCTGTGTAGAAGTAACAAACCCTTGGAAATCCCATATATGACAGCCTTTGAATTATATGCGGAAGTAATTTTTTTTTTCTCCTGTCGTTCCAAATTTAGCAATAATGATTTCCTTCTAGAAATTGTTCTTGAACCACACCTGGTGGTAAACTGCAGAAACCTTGTCATCGTTCAGGTGTGTGTTAAACTACAGGACTCGAGTAGGACGCAGGGAGAGGTTCCTTGGGATGCATCTTTATCTCCCTGACTGAAACTTGGTAATAGAAAAATAACACATGGCATTGCATCTGCTTGCTGCAGGGAATACACAAGGTTTGTGCAAAGAAAGTATCTTCCTCATGATGCACTGTGTCTGCTGTGTTGGTGTTCTGTAGCATTTAAGCAGGAGGTTTGACCAACCTGATGGATTTCCAGTTTGTCCAGTACATTCGTGTCCTTCATTGGAACTTGTTTAGCGTAAACAGAAATAGTGTTGGTCGATATGATACCGCTTATCTACCCTTTATATATAGTTTGTGCGTCAGTATTTCAAAAATACTAATGCTAATTTAAAATTCATCAGCATTTAAAAAAAAAAACAGTCTGGGCTACAGCGCTGCTGTAAACTTGCACAGCCTGGGCCGTGCACTCTGGCGACTTTCACATCCTCTGGAAAGGAGAAGCTTCTTTTTAAGCAGAAGGAAATGCTGAGCAGCACACATCCCAGCTGGTGCTCTTTAACCCAAGTGTTGAGCTAGAGATGGGGTGGCATTGTTGTGAGTAGGCAATTTGCATCAGTTCATAGTGCTTCTATTCATCGTAGGGAGGAGGATCAAGACAGGTGGAAAAAGGAGGAGGAGTGGTGAAAGTTGAATGAGATAGATACCCAGAAGCCAAACTTTCCTTTTTATTTTGCGTTTTATTTGATGAAATGGACTGTTGTATCTTTTGTGCTCCTGTGAATGCATACCCATCTGCTCTAGCATGCTTGTAGTTACTCCTGGTGCCTGGTCAGCTGTTGACATGTTCAGCACAACTGAAATTCTCCATCAGCTGCCCCATCCTCCTCCAAAGACAAGTAAAGGTCAAGCTTAATTTCAAAAGCGGCGAGGTATGCAACTGTCGATCAGATCTTGAACTTGATGAAGCTTTCACGCTCTTTGCTATAAAAGCAAGTTTAGTTTTAGTGCTTTTTAAATTTTATCGGTGCTTGGGAATCGTGGTGTACCTTCAAATTCTGCCCACAGCTGTTTTGATTTAGCTTAGCTTTAAAAAGTAACTGTCTAAGGAGTCTCTTGGAGTGTTTCTTCCCTAAAGTGATTGCTGCAGTGGAGGATGGCTCCAAAAGACAAGTTTCTAGCAAAATGAGAAGGAAAAAGCTTTAAACAAGTTGAAAGCTTTTATTGAAGTTATATAAGCATATTTATAGAAATACTTGAACTCTTGTGGTTGTTGCTATGAAACATTTATAAAGGAAACTTACAGTGATGTTCAAACTCAGCTATTTAGCACTCGACTTAAGACTCAGATGTTTTTTGAGGTGTAGCTAATGTGTTCCTGAGCAGTACTAAAAGACAAAGACAGCTTTCAGTAGACAATTCCGTGAGCCTTGGGTTGTGTGCAGTTCTGGAGCTCTCTGAGAAAATGGTGAGTTCAATAAATAGTGTGTCCTTGTTCAAACAGCGGTAGTACAAGATGCATCAAATTTATGGTTTTGTAATTGACAGCCATGTGGATGAGGAGCTGCTGGATTAATTTTATTCAGTTGTATATATTCTGCATGCTTTATTTTATGAGCTTAGCTAATGGGGATAGCTAGGGAATACAATCTGGTATGTTGCAAGTGTTGGCTTGGCCCCTATTTCATCTTCTTGGATTCAATAAACTGACTTTGGCCCTGGAACTGCTACAGCGTGTGTTGGGAATCTTCTTGTTTAGGTGTATTGAAAATAGCGTGCAGCTAAGAAAAACAAGGAGGTTTTAGTTGTTTTAAAAATCAGTAGATTGTATTACACTTGAGGATAGAAATGAATAGCAAACGAGAATCGACCGAGGGCTTGATTTTTGTGCCACTGGAATCTATTGGACTTCTGTTGTTGATTTCCATGGGAAGCAGAGTAATCCATCAGCTGGGATCCGTGATCGCGTCTGCCGAAAATTGAAAGGTATCTTTGTTTTCAGACTGGGAATCTGCAATTAAAGTTGGTGTGCTGGACTGTGGGGAAGAGGAGAACTACGAGACGTGCAAAGAATACGGTATTCACTATTACCCAACTTTCAGGGTAAGTGGCATAATGTGTTGCCTGAGGTAGATGGTGCCTGCTTTGTAGTGACTAAAACCGTAACAAACGTGCTTGTGGAGAGTGTCACAGGTAACTCGGGGTTCTTTGGATGGACTTTTGCTTTGCTTTTGCTGAGAAAACTG